AGAAGTCTGTTGTCTGCCAGGGGCTCGAATAAGGGATGTCATGGAGAGATTGCCAAGGCTTGTCCAAGCGTCTGGCTATTATCAGCTGTTAGTGTTTCATGCGGGTGCTGACGATGCCATGGGGAAACTGACTAACATCAAGCAAGATTTCAGAGCCCTATGGATGGCAGTCAAAGGTCTGGGTACTCAGGTTGTGTTCTTCTCTATCCTGCAAATGAGGGGCATGGGTATGAGGAAGGAAAGGTGTATGTTACAGGTTAACAACTGTTAGCACCGCTGGACTTGGCAACAGGGTTTTGGTTTCTATGACCATGGGACTCTGTTTGACCAGCTAGTGGAGAGCGATGAGAGCCACCTCAGCAAGAGGGGCATGCATGTCTTTGCCAAAAGGTTGGCCAGCCTGGTTAGGAGGGCTTTAAATAAGCGTGAAGGGGGAGGGGGAATGTTACATGGGCAGGACAATAAGTACCATGCAGCCAAAGCCAGAAGGCATCCAAAAGGAGTATGGTAGTGGGGAAGGGAGTATGGGAAATGATTATAGAGGATCCTCTTTCACCCGTCCCGGGAAACCTGCTGGCTCGGTTACTTCCGTTAAATGCCTGTACACCAATGCATGCAGCATGGGAATAAACAGGAGGACCTGGAGATCTGTGTGTGATCCTGGCATCATGATCTCATTGGTCTTACAGAGACATGGTGGGATAGCTCACATGATTGGAGCGCTGTCATGGAAGGCTATGTGCTTTTTGGGGAAGACAGGCTGGGAAGGCGAGGTGGTGGAGTTGCTCTTTATGGTAAGAGAGCAACTGGAATGCATGGAGCTCAACCTGGGGGTGGATGATGAGTGAGTTGAGAATGTGTGGGTAAAGATTAGAGGGCCAGACTAATGTTGGAGATGCTGTGGGAGACACATTTACTACAGGCCGTCTGATCAGGATGAGGAAGTTGATGAGGCCTTCTACAGACAGCTGGAAGTAGCCTCACGGTCTCAGGCCCTGGTTCTCATGTGGGACTTAAACCACCCTGCAATCAACTGGAAAGACAACACAACCAGGCACAAACAGTCCTGTAGGTTTGCTGATAACTTTTTAACACAGACTGTGGAGGAGCCCACAAGAAGAGGTGGGCTACCAGACCTCATGCTAACAAACAGAGAGGAACTTATTGGAGATGTGAAGGTGGGGAGGTAGCCTCGGCTGCAGTGTTCATGAGCTGGTTGAGTTTAGGATCCAACGAGGAGGAAGCAGGGCTGTAGGTAGCCTTGCAACCATGGACTTGAGGAGGGCCAACTTTGGGCTCTTCAGAGACTTCCTCGGAAGAATCCCATGGGCTAGAGCTCTAGAAGGAAAGGGGGCCCAAGAGAGCTGGTTAGTTTTCAAGCAGCACTTCCTCCATGCTCAGAAGCAGTGCATGCCTTTGAGCAAGAAGTCAGGCAGAAGGGGCAAGAGGCCTGCATGGATGAGCAAGGAGCTGCTGGCAAAACTCAAACAGAAAAAGGTATTATACAGAAAGTGGGAATAAGGACAGGCTCCTTGGGAGGAATATAGGAATGTTGTCAGGGAATGCAGGGATGTGACAAGGAAAGCTAAGGCACAATTGGAATTAAATCTGGCAAGGGATGTTAAAAATAACAAGAAGAGACTTTTTCAAGTATATCAATGATAAAAGGAAGATGAGACAAAATGTGAGTCCGCTGGTGAATCGTGTGGGTGCCCTGATTACGAAAGAGACAGAAAAAGCAGAGCTACTGAATGCCTTCTTTGCTTCAGTGTTTGCCACGGGCATCCCTCTGGAATTCCAGACTCTAGAAACCAGAGAAGGTGCCTAGAGAGAGGAAGACTTGCCCTGTGTAGAGGAAGATTGGGTCAGAGAGCTCTTAGGGAAACCTGACATCCAGAAATCCATGCACCCGAGAGTACTACGGGAGCTGGTGGATGTTATTGCTAAGTGGCTCTCCATCATCTTCAAAAGGTTCTGGAGAACGGGGGAGGTGCCAGAAGACTGGAAGAAAGCCAGTGTCACGCCAGTCTTCTAAAAAGGCAAGGAGGAGGACCCAGGCAACTACAGGTCAGTCAGCCTCACATCCATCCCTGGAAAAGTCATGGAGCAGCTCATCCTGGCTGTTGTCTCCAAACATGTGAAGGACAAGAAGGTGCTCAGGAGTAGTCAGCATGGATTCACCCAGGGGAAATCATGCTTGACTAACCTGATAGCCTTCTATGATGGAGTGACCTGCTGGATAGATGAGGGGAGAGCAGTGGATGTCATCTATCTCGACTTCACCAAGGCTTTTGACACCGTCCCTCACAGCATCCTCCTGGGCAAGCTCTGGCAGCATGGGCTAGATGAGCAGACGCTGAGGTGAATTAACGACTGGCTGGATGGTAGAGCCTAGAGGGTGATGATCAGTGATGCAGAGAGCAGCTGGAGGCCTGTAGCTAGCGGTGTGCACCTGAGGTCAGTCCTTGGTCCAGTCCTGTTCAATTTGTTCATCAATGACCTGGATGAAGGCAGAATGCTACCTCAGCAAGTTTGGTGATGATACCAAACTGGGAGGAGTAGCTGATGCCCCAGAGGGCTGCGCTGCCATCTAGAGGGACCTGGACAGACTGAACAACAGGGCAGTGAGAAACCTTGTGCAATTTAACAAGGTGAAGTGCAAGGTCCTGCACCTGGGGAGGAATAACCCCAGACACCAGTACAGGCTGGGGAATGACCTTCTGAAGAGCAGCTCTGCAGAGAAGGACGTTGGCATTGTGGTGAACCTTGGCGACAAGTTGACATGAGGCAGCAGTGTGCCCGCATGGCCAAGAAGGCCAATGGCATCCTGGGGTACGTCTCCAGCAGGTCAACGGAAGCGATCCTGCCCCTCTACTCAGCCCTGGTGAGGCCACATCTGGAGTACTGTGTCCAGTTCTGGGATCCCCAGTACAAGAGGGACGTGGAGCTGCTGGAGAGAGTCCAGGACAGGGCTGCAAGGATGATCAGAGGCCTGGAACATCTCCCCTATGAGGAGAGACTGAGAGAGCTGGGCCTGTTGAGCCTGGAGAAGGCTGAGAGGTGGCCTGATCAGTGTATATAAATACCTCAAGGGAGGGAGTGTAGAGGATGGTGCTGGCTGCTTTTCAGTAGTGGCTAGCGACAGAACTAGAAGTAATGGCCACAAATGGAAACACCAAAATTTCCACAGGAACTTAAGGAAAAAATTCTTCACAGTAAGGGTGACGGAGCACTGGAACAGGTTGCCCAGAGAGGTTGTGGAGTCTCCTTCTCTGGAGATCTTCAAAACCCACTTGGACGCAGTCCTGTGCCATGTGCTCTGGGTGACCCTGTGTGTGAAGGGGTTTGGACTGGATGATCTCTAGAGGTCCCTTCCAACCTTAACTATTCTATGATTCTATGAACGATGGAGAGCTCATGACCTCTTGAGAGATCATACACCTGTGTCTTTTAATCTTCATATCTTAATAAATGAAGCAAAAGGAAAAACTGGAAGGAGTTTCAAGAAAGGAAGTCCTGCTTGTTTTTGTTGTATCAAGAAGTTGATAGGGAGAGTGAGCAAAATAGTGCTTTGAGAGCAGATACAGTAGGAATAGAGTTATTAGCACCTATATTTTAGTGCAAATGTTAGATCATATTCATCATATTCATCCAAACTGGCACCCATCTTTTCCAGGAATAGTCTACTTGGTGTCCAAGCTATTTAATATGTGAATACCTCAATATAGTATTTCAGTATTTGGTTACAGTTACAGTGTAACTGACGGAACAGCACTGATAGCTTGATAGGATACACAACTGATTCTCAAGAAAATGCAAATACTTAATTCTAAGTGTTAAACAACATAGCAAACCAATATCCGAGATGCCATTCAGGATAAAAACATGGGATCATTTGCTCCAATCTCTCCGAATTTAGAAATCCATGAAAAAAATGCATTAAACTATTGCTTCCAATTTACCTCATTCATTAATCCTTGGTCATTTAAGCAGGGGTGTAAATTGTCATAATGTTTTGAAGACTGGACAAAAAATCCTCAGTGTCCTTTGTCTTTTATAGAGGAACCAAAACATGAATTTGGAGTGTGGTTTGTTCTGTGTCTTTTGTATTTAGGAACACATGGACCAAATACTATTGCTTCTTAATTATCCTTTTGTTCCAGAATATATTAAGTTTACCAGCCTGTATTCCCATATTGTAATAGTATGAGGTTCTTTCACATTGCTCATGAATCCTGTTCACGCCTCAGAAACATGTATAAGACTAGCATAAATACCATGAGCAGAATAAACATCTTCATCAGATTTATGAAAGCATTTGAGCAGGTACTTGGGGTGTGCTAAACTCACCATGAGTTAAACACATGCGTAAAAGTTAAGCACGAATGCATTTGTCCTTGCTGAATTTGGAGCTATCTGAAAAAGGGAGTAGATTATACCTGCCCTGTGAGAACCCTTCATGTAAAATGTAATCACAGAGCCTCAAAGACTCCTTTTGGGGCACATATGTACATGTATCTTTGAAGCAAAATCTATCTTCCGCTTTAAATGGACTAAATTAAGAGAGTAAATAAACAAAAGCAAGGCTGAAGTTATATATTTTTGAAAAGTAATTAATAAGAATGCTAATCTCTTATTTATTTATTCATTTTTATTTCTTTTCTCCAGTGATTATTTTAAGGAAGAATTACTAATACTGACTTTGTATTTGTCATTAATCTTTATTAATAGTCTTTACTTCTATAGGAAAACAGTTTCCAAAATGGAGAGTGTGTAAGCACATACCATCTGTTCAGTAGATTGTATACATCAGATTAAAGAAAAAAAAAGTCTACAGCTGCAAATATAAGAAGATGTTTATCAAGATGCACTGCTTCTTGATCAGAATACTGTTGTGACACTGCTTTATTCTGACCACTAGATGGTGTTGATGTCTGTAGATATGCATGTCCATGTGTGACTATAATCACAGTTACAAATACTATTTTTCTGCCCAACAGATATTCCCTGGACTGATTCTCTCAGACATAAAGCCTGCCAAAAGAATGAAGTTCAAGACAGTTTGCTACCTGCTCGTTCAGCTCATGCACTGTCGTAAGATGTTCAAGGCAGAGATCCCTTTCTCCAATGTCATGACATGCGAGGATGATGATAAGGTAATTCTTGAGGGTTATTTGGGCATGGATTTCAGGATCACATGAACTGAGAAGACATGAAGTGACCTGCCCAGCTGATAACAAGTTTCTGGGATTCCTCCTGGAGCGAGAGCCATGTGGAGCTCACGACGACAGGAAATGCATATAGGGGTCTAACAGTGAAAATAAGCTCAAGTAGAACTGGTCTGCAATCTGAAGTTCCTCTTAACTGAGCCAGGACAGGCATCCTTGGTGGCTTCTGCAGAGTGCTTCTTTCACAGGAATTAGAGTTTCTGAGGCTATTATTCAATTACCAAGAGCTACTGTTTTGTATTTTGAGTCCAACACATTTCCAAGCACATAACCTCAAAAATAAAATAGTAAAGAGTAATTTTGTATCACTAGATGGCTTTCTAAAAAAATGAAAGGGGAATTATTTGTAAAAGAGATTACTCTGAGTCTTTAATAAATCAAACACAGCAATCTTGAATGAAGTGTAGTGCTATATCCTAATTGCTTCTGTGCATGAATCTAACCAGAAATTTTTGTAGAAAAAAAAGTTTGAAGAACTGTTGCTTTAAATTTCTTAGACAGCAGATGGCAATATGACATAAGTGGATGCTATGTGAATGTTCCAAGTCAATAGATGAATTCATCTTCACTGGTTGCTCTACTCTCTACTTTTTTGTTGTTTTATTTTTAATGAAAGATGTCAATTTAAGATGCAATATAAATCTTACTTTCATACAAGATAATAAATTTTCTATTTTGGATTTTTTATATGTGTATGTACAACCCACTGGGAGGCAGACAGAATTTCAGTGAAGATGTTCAGAAATTTCAAGTTTTCTCTTAAAAGTGTCCATAGACAGGGCCAGACATAGTTTGAATGTGACCTTTCAGTTGTGAATTAGTACTGGCTTTTGAGTATTTAAAAGCAACCCACACATTTTGAAACGTATGTATTCCTTTATGATGTGTCTTGTGTGTATGTAATAAATATGATAGTAAGCACAGAGAATCCAGATATGGGGATCAGATGTAAATTTTCTCATTTAAGAACATTCAGAGTGAATTTCTAAAATGCTGGCTTTAACTGAACCTGTTGTTTTTCCAAGTATTTGTACGTGATAGGGGAATTTTATCATGGAATATGACATAAGGCTTTAATAAAATTAGATTCTGTTGCAATCCAGGGTCTCTTCAGAAACCATTAGTCCTCAAATCATGTAGATAGTTATGGCTATTAAGACTTTGAAGATAGCACAATACTGGAGCGTTTATTTATCTTTTTAATTTCCAGCAAAATACTGTATCTTGATGGCATCGTGTAAGTCTACTCTATGAATTAATATTAGAAAAGAATAGGAGACCTAGCAAAAGTAATTATATGTGAGCAATAGCTAATTTGATTAAGCACAGTAACTGTAGCCCTATTTAGAACAGAGTAATAGATAACAGAGTTTATTCCATATACAAGAATAACTCCCATTACCTATTCCTACTCCAGATTTTCAAATAAATAAGTGTTTTCTTTACTTAAAAATATTTTTTCTCACTGCTACCACTATGCTGTAGGCTTCCATTTGGATTACAAAAAAATCTCTCCTATGAGGGAATGGCTTTATGTAGGATTAGAACTTTATAAAAGTTGATCACAGGCAAACTAAGATTTTTTTTTTTGTGAGCAACAAAACACGGAAGTACAGGTTTGAAAGATTTTATCCATGTGCTTTTTTAATTATTTCATATTGAAATAATTAGTTCTTACACCACAGACAACATTACACGGAACAGGATCTGATAGTTTGAAGAAAAATGCTTCAAGTATCCTCATAGTCATTTAATACTGATGTTACCTTCTGTCATATGTAGCCAGCAAAATGGGACATGGAAAGGTATTTTATTTGCTAAGATCCATTATTTTTGGGATCACCAAACTAACTTTTAGTCAGCAGTTACCCCTTTCTACTGTTCATAATTATTCAAATATCTTTACATGCAATACAAATGCATATGTTGCCTAATGTGTTACTGTCAATCATTTTTTGTATGTTGAGGATTTTACACAAGCTGTTTTATGTGGAACAGGACACAAGATTGCCATTTTTACTATGTTGTCTGAATGGTTTTGACCACTGCTTTTTATCATCTAGTTTAGGAGGATATTTTTTTAAAAAGTCTCATAAAGTGGGATGTTAAATTATGACTGCTCTGAACTGAGAAATTAAGTGTCTTTTTAATTTCATGTTTTGAATGGCCTTCTTGAACTCTGCAGGTGTTAGATTAATAACAACAACAAAAAGTTATTTTAACTATACAAAAGTAGCTTACTTTGCCTGCATAGGCTTCCTTTGGGGGACAAAGAGGCACCTTGACTCTTCTATTGCTTTTACACCATTCAGATGACAATAGGAGGAGTCTGTGTCCTGGTTCAGGCTCCAGCACGTCTGTTATTTGACCTTAGGTAGTGATTAGAGAAAATGCACAGAGCATGAAGGATGCTCTGAAATTCAGGAGGCTTATTCATTACCTTTGGTGAATGCCCATGCATTTGATGAATGTACATGGTGTGATACGACACATATCTCTTTGCTCACTTAAGCAAGAAATTCAGATTAAGAAATTCAGATTATTTTCATTAGAATTGTATTATTCCTGCAGTAGGAATGAGTAGAGATTCATCCCACTACAGTCTCTATAGCCTGGATGACAAAACCCTTCTGAATGTAAGACTTGAACCCTTCTGAGGTGAAAAGATATATTTAGTTAACGTCTTCCCTTGTCTGCTCAATGAGATAACTATTAATTGTTTGTTTATTTGTTTTCCTTTAAAAAAACTGGGCTCCCTCTTACTCCACGTTTAAGAAATGCCGCAGCTACAGGAGCCTTTTTGTGAAGGTTCTGGTGCTTTTTAGTGTGTGTTAAGGCATCGACAGACAGACTAGTACAGATCTAGTCCTAGTGGTATAAATCACATCTCAGCTGAAGGTTGCCAACATCACAGCTGAGATGCTGTTCACCTTAGTATCTTTCAACAGAAAATGAGACAGATTTTCAAAATCTTTTTTCAGTATGTTTTGAGATAAATCTTTTGCAGTATAAAGAACCGTAAGTGATCATCTTGTCAGTTGGCCTGGTGGGCTATTGGGCTATTATTGGGCTATTGGGCTATTGAAATGCAATTGTGGATAACTCTGATCATTCACTAGACTGTTCCAGCTGGATCTACCCTCAAAGTATGCCCACGGGGCCTTAAAAAGTGATCCACATGGGTGAGTTAGAAGTAGGAATACTTGGTATTTTGGAGCCTCTGAAGTCATATATGATCACTGTGCAAGAGCTTAAGGAAAATTCTCCAGTATATATTATTCCATGGAGTTTTGGAGAGTAGGATTTTTCTTTTATCATGGTCTGGTTATCTTGCCTTCATGATGCCCAGAACTCTATATCTTTCATTATGTAAAAAAATTGCCAGCTATTTTGCTAGATGAATTCACGATGATTGAGGTCAAAGACTGAGGATTAAGATTAAAGAACAGTGCATATAGGGAACTTCTGAGGATAAGAATTAAAATCCGGAAAAGCACTGGGAATTTTGTCATTGACTTTAGTGAGATCAGGTTTTCAGTTAAAGAGTTTTAAAGAAGTCATAATCCTGCTGAGACAAGACCTTCATCTTTTGCAGCATCTTGCTTAATGAAATCTTCATTCTGGCTGTAAACTTGAGAAAGTATGAATAACTAATAAATCTCAATATTAATAAAATATATGATCCCTTTATTTGTGCTACAGAGGAGAGCATTAAGGACAGCCTCTGAAAAACTCAGGAATCGTTCCTCGTTTTCTACAAATGTTGTATACAACACCCCAGGAACTCGAGTAAACAGATATATCAGCCGTTTGATAGAGGCCCGGCAGACTGAATCGGAGATGGCTGACTTGAATTTCATTACCCTGAAGTATAAACAAATTGAACGCGAGAACAAAGTAAGTTTCTTTAAATTATTTTTGCTCATCATGGGCCAGCTAGTATTGTTTGCTTGGTACCTAGACAGTACCTAAACTCTGCTCGCTGTCTTCAAATAGTGCTCTCTTAATGAAGAGGAAGGCACTATCTCCATCTTCTGTGGAAGAACTTGGAGGAGATAAAAAGGAAGACCCGTTTCTTTCTCCTGATAATTTTTCTCCCCTCCTTATATTACATTTCCCATGGTTTGGTCTACCTATTACTCTCTGAAGTGCCCAGTCTGTGTCACTTGCATAATGATGTCTTGTGGGAAAGCATCTGCCTGCTTCTTGTCTGTTCTGGAGAATGACAACAGCACGTTTCTCTCTGCGTGAAGAGCCTACTAAGGTTGGTTCCACCCATCCTACCAAATATAAAGGAAAGCCTAAATCTTGGATAAAAGTTGTGATCTCATGCCACTGTGACTGTGCTGGAAGGAGTGGAGTTGGCCCAGTTTTGTAATTGCATATATATGGCAGAAGAGCTATCAAAGTAGAGCTGCCCATTCCTACATTGTATGGGTTTTGTTTGGATTGTAAAATTTTATTTTAAGTGGGATTATAGTGAAAATAACATGGCTTTGGATTAGTTTGACAGTAACTTTTAATTTATTTTTCCATTCCAAGTCATGTCATAGTCTAGGATACCAGATAGTCTAGGTACATAGATTGTCTAGGATATTGTTTTAAGTCAGAAGGCTGTGTGCCATTTTTTCAAGTCGGGAGCTTTAACTTTAGTTTAATGTTTCAGCAGCGATTTATTGTTGAATTTTAACTGTTTGTTTTCAAAATAAGAAACTTCTTCGTATATGACAGTACATGAGGTTTACTGAAGGGAATGGCGTGTTTCAGGTCAAGTATATAGTGTCTTTTGGACATATTTAGTACTTCAAAAGTGATCTTTCAGATGATAGTGTTTTTGTTTGTTTGTTTTTCTTGTTTTGCTTTTTTAGTCTTGCAACGTGAAATATTCCCAAACTTCTAGGAGCTGGCTTGTCATCTCTTAATGTAAAGAAGGTGTTTTCCCAGACAGCATTGTATTTCACACTTTATGTAAAGAAGGTGTTTTCCCAGACAGCATTGTATTTCACACTTTTCCTAGATGCTAGACACAAGTATATCAAGTATATAACAATAATCTGAACATATGAGGGTGTTTCAAGATCCTCTGCACTATGTTATACTTCTGTGAGACAGTTAAAGTATGCAAAATGTTTGCCTTTGTTTCTCCTTTTTTTAAAAAAAAAAGTCAAACAGGCATTCTCACTCGGCTGCTTGCCTTGTAAGGTTATAATCACATCGCAGTCTCAGTTGTTTTGCTGTAAATTTAGAATAACTCTGTCTGATAGAAATAAATTCTAGTTTATAGAGGTGTAAATGAAATGACATTGGTAAATCTTTCTAACATTGGCTTAATTTTAGTCCCTGAAATGTGTTCTATTGTAAGCACCATGATTCTGTGAAATCAGAAGCGATAATTACTGAAAAGTAGGTCTGGGTCTCCCATTAGGAGCTATTTTCAGTCTACCCTTCAATGTGCTTTCGAAAATATCTGTGGTGATGATTTGTTGTTGTTGTTTGTGGGTTTTGTTTTGTTTTGTTTTAATGATGAATAAGTGGAGAACAGAGGGAGAACCTCCTCCTTCTGCTTCAAAAGGTCAGAATCCTTTTGGCTTTGAAAAACAAACTCATTCTTGGGTTTAGCTCAGCTCTGACTAGTTCCAAGTTGGAAAATAAATATCTGGACCAATACGAGCTGCTGAAACAAGTGTTTATCAAAGAAATCTTAGGTAGACTTACCTCATCCATTTTTTCTCTGAATTGAGAAATGTTTATTTCTATGTTTTTAAAAGGCCAAAGTCTTGTTTTATTTTAGGCAATAGTTCTTTCTTCCTGAGAATCACCAAGCATGGGTGGATGAGTGTACATAGAATGCTCACTGTCTTTATCTGTTTCCTTTCTTTAACAGTATCATCAGCTTCAGGATGAGTATTTCACCAGTGCTGTAGTTCTCTCACTAATTCTAGCTGCCTTATTTGGCTTTGTCTACCTTCTAATAATACCACAGTAAGTTTCTGTCTTTTGCCATTATAATTCAAAGTCCTCAGGCATCCTGCACAAATCAAAACACTTAAGACTCTGGTATAAGAATTAAAACAGTTATTATTAGGGTCAAGTCTGCAGCTTCTCAAACTAGAAAGTCTCTTTGGTATATCCTGCATATGACTGTTATCTCTTCCATTTGTCCAAAGCAGCCATGCCCTTAGTCATGGCTATTTAAACAAATTCTTCCCTAAGCTCTTCTTTTGATCTTTATAACTTTTGGAAGGATGCATTTGGAAGAAGAAAATGCTGAAAACTGCAAAACTAGATTTAATTTAAAACATTTCTACACTGCGAACAGAGCTGTCACTGTAAATTTTCTAGGTGTGTGTGAGCAGGAGGGATGCACTCTCTTCCTTCCACTCTTAGAACTCTATAATACCAGGAGCCTGTCCTCAGTGATAATCAGGGCATTTATGCATGTATTGACAAAATCCTAGAAAACATGCTCTAGGTGACCTTGCTTGAGCAGGCTGGCTGAGCTAGATGATCTCCAGAGGTTCCTTTCAACATCAGCCATTCTGTGATTCTGTGATGCAGTCATGATTCACATCATCTGGTCTGGTTGGATTGTTCTCACAAGACCTAAAAAAATGTGTGATAGTCATGTTATGCTACTGTTATATAGCCTTGGTCCCATAGCTATCATGAAACCAAGCTATTCCTTAGCATAAATCAGAGCACCCAGGGCTTGTGGTCTAATTTTAGCCAAATTGTTCACATCCATAGGATGCTATTTCAGTAACACAGACTTGATAGAAGAGGAAAATACCAGGCTGATATCCTTTTCTCCTATAGGGCAGGCTTATTTTGGAAGATGAGGAGAAAGAACATAAAAAACTATTACAGCATCTTTGTGAAATCTAAGATTTCTTTTTAACCACTGAGAAGGTCTCAGAAGGTGGGGATTACATTGTTTCATGAAAAGAGGAGATTACAATCTGGTCTGATTGCATTTGTCTTGATAAGTTGCTGAATTGACTGACCTGTGATTTCTGAATCTCTGAGGAGACATGAGAAAGGAAAAGAATAGAATCTGGTATCTGTTATACAGCTGCCATGACGTGAAGGCCAAGTTGTGCTTTTCACTTACAGGAGATACAGTGCTGGATATTCCACATTACCCTAAGATTAGACGAATGTGCTCCTAAAACGCTGTAGTACTCCTAACACAACTGTTGAGTTCTAGGTCCTAGTGAGTACCACATATTAGAACATTTATAGATTTCTCATTCTTGAGAGCATCACATTTTGCTGAAGTAGAACGGCCGGGAAAGAAACTACCAGAATTTTTCCTATCACTGTTAGCTTTATAGCAGCAATGACGGGGGGTGGGGGGAATCCTCCAGTGTTCATCTAACATATTGCTTCAGAGGGAACCTTACTCTGTTGCTTTTCATCTATTACAGAGTTGCTCTGATTTATTTGTTGTATTTTGATTTTAGGAGTACCATAGTTCTTGTTCTCCTGGTGTTCTGCATATGCTTCCTAGTGGCTTGTATCATGTACCTACATGTCACACAAGTACAAGTAAGTGATTTCAGATTTTGTGACTGTTCTTTTTATTGACAATGCTATGTTTGTCCTTTGGAACATGAGTCATTGGCGCCTGCTTCATTGGAGAGTTTGAAGTCTTGTTCTGAAACCCATGTGTCCTAATTTGTCACAAAGCAATATATTAGGAATTCCAGAAAGAGATAATTCCCATGAAGGGAAGACTTTTTACATGAGCCATCACTACAGCAGTGCAGAATAGGTTCTTTTCCTTAATGCTATGGATTTTCTTTTGCAGCATCTTTCCTGAATATCTGCCACTAGGTATAAGACCATCCCACTGCCTAGAAAAACAACTGCTTTGACCTGACTTTTTCTCCTTTCTGCCTCCAGAACATACTGGTTGTCCTTTCCATGCTGAAAGATGTCTGAGTGTAAAGTCCTGCTAACTTCCTTTCTATTTTCAAAACTTTTCCTGCCAAAGCTCCTATTGATTGCAAAAGGCAATGCTTTTCATACAAACCCCTAGCCTTTACAAAACCTTTTGTAATGATTAATTCTCCTGTATTACATTTTCACAACAGTAATGAAGCAGAAGGACATTGGGTTGTTGCAGAGAGAGAAAAACTGCCAGGTCAAAATAAAGGATCTGCAGACATATTTTCTGATGAAATCAATCTTTACTGGCTTGATCTAAATTTGGTCCTTTCAGACAAATATCAGCACAAAACACCTACACAGTTAATCAGTTCTGCAAATTAACACATGCTGAGTTTTAGCTAAGAAAAAATGCCTTTTGGCAAGAGGAGAGTAATTGTTTTCATGGAAGCATAAACAGTTTGATTAGCAGAATATCTGATACAGAGCAGAATTTTATTTACGAATTACAAAACTACTTGGGAGTAATGTTGATGATCTCTTTTGTCTCAAAAATTCGTAGTAGTTTATAATCTGCTGTTCTCTGTATGAATGCTAAAAATATAAATGAAGTTTGTAGGAAATTCTGTTCTTTATTGCATTTCTCTGGGGCTACTGTGAACTTGAGTTTTGTTCCAACTGTTGTGGCAGTCAACAGGTTTTCAATTTATTTCAGATTCCTCTAGCGATTCAGTACCTTACAGGTTTGAATTTGGCATTAGCAAAATAAAAAATATGAAAAATCAAGTATAAAAGTTTGAAATTGTATGGAAAAGTTTAGTCTTGTATAATCTGTATAGGATTGTAAACTGGACAATCCTCCATTTTAACCAGTCTTCTAGCACCTTTTTGCCATTTTGCACTGGGCAAGTGACAATTCTGCAGATAAAAGAAAACTGAGGAAATAAAGCCCTAAATGTTATGCTAACATGAAAGAGCAGATGCAATCTTGGAAAGACCAAAAGCCATAAATATAAACTTTCAAGTGCCAGGCAGAGCTTTAATTTAGACACGTCTCTCATATTTTAGCTTTTAATGCTTTGTTTTCCTTTTTATCTCAATAAGCCTAGCATGCTATCTTCTATATTATATATGCACCACAAAACAAAATGCCTATGTAATGTGTCAGAATCAGTATTTTTCCTTGTTATTATTAACCATGAGACACTATGGTGATTCACAGCATTTTGTTATTGCTACTTCTACCTCTATGACTGATAAGGAATTCAGGAATAAGGATAAGGAATATATGTGTTTCCTTTGTACAACATGCTTGTAAAAGCAATAAAACCATTCTATCTATATAGCATATAAAAGCATTCTATCTATAAAAGCATTCTATCTATAGAGATGAATATTCACATATGGACAAATAAGCGGATAAAAAAAGTGGACAATGAAGTTCAGAGGCTAGTAGTTAAATGGTCATACTCTGCCTGGAGGCCAGAAATAAGTGGAATACAGCAGGGGTTGGAACTGGACCTGTCCTGTCTAATATTTTTATGAAAAACTTCGAGGAGGGCACCAAGTTAGGAGAAACAGCCAACACTCTCACAGACAAGGCTGTTATTCAAAGGGAGCTGAGAAGCTGAAGGAGTCGACCAACATGAGAAATTTGACAGAGATCTATACCAAGCCTGGTCACTGGGAAGGAAGAACCTCCTTTAACCATAAAGCCTGGGGACAAACTAACTGGGAAGCAGCTCTATGGAAAAGACCCTGGGGGTCTGATGGCACAGAGCCAGTGGTGTGCCCCAGCAGCAAAGGCGAGTAATAAAATCCTGGACAGTATTAACTTTAGATTGCCAGAAATGATTATGCCTCCTACTCAGTCCTTATTAGGTCATATGTGATATACAGCATTTGCTTTTGGGCCTCTTTTTCCATCCTGAATAATCCTCCAATGAGCTATGGTGTTGGAGTGCAGAAATATTCTATCCCTTGTTTCATCTTGTAATTTTTGACACTGCTCCATCCTCTTCCTCAAAGCACAGTAAGTGTTCCAATGTGAGATTCTTACAGTAAAAGATTTTTGTTCTACAATAGGGTCATTTTTTGTTTTATTAAAAGTGACATGCCCTAGATATTCCAGAGTATTTTAATGAAGTTGACTAAGACTAAAACTAGTTGCTGGTATAACCGATTCAGTTTTTAGTGTTTTTATATAATACCACTACTGATATTACACTGATTATTTCCCAGCTATGTTTATGTGGATGTAAACCATATTGCAGTTGGAGTGTAAGTGCAAGTCATATAATACACACATTTGTTTTGGTTTCTTTTTGTCTTCCTTATTTGCTGCATCCTGATGTTTTTCAGTGCAGGTGAAGCCAATTCACCTGTGATTTTCTCAGACTTCAAACTCTGGTCTCATGGCAGAAATTTCTGTGCATATGTGAAAGGAAGACAAGGCATTTCAGTACATGATTTCTGTTGTAGCAGGGCCACAGAAGCCCCTGCCGTGTGGCCTGTTGGAAGCTGGATTTTTATTGTTGTGTTGTTACCCAGAAAGTAGACAGGCTTTATTCCGGACTTATGACTTTCATCCAAAAATTATTCTCTTGCTTCATTTGATGTTAAGTCAAATCCAGCCTTGATGAGTCTGCATCCATCCTTTTCAGCAAAGCACAATTGTCCCCCCTTTAAATTTCATCATTTCATAGAGCTAATTCTTGCCCATTGAAGCCGCCAAAAGAATTTCTGTGATCTCAAAGACATACCTTGGATCCCTTGAGATATCCCAGATGCTCTCTGCCAAGGGAAAAGGGAGGAAAGCAGTTTTCCCAGAGACCAGAGCAGATCAGTATAACTAGAACAATCAGTGCTTGACAGGCTTGTCCTTCCCTCGCCTCCTGTCACTGGCTTCATGTGTGCTCACAGCACTTCACACTTCATGTTGATGGACTAAGAGTGAAAACGGAGATGAGCAAGACTCCACCAGGTTTTTTTGTCCTCTACTACTCTTTCCATTCTGACAAGCTCAGTGTTTTTAATGGGTCCTGCTAATTAAAACTACCCCAGCATTTAACGTGACTGTTATAGCAGAAAACAGAAATATCACTCCCAAATTCCATGCTATGGAATTCCACAGTATGTTCTCTTCGATCATTATCTGTAGCTAATAATTTGCAAGGCAAAAGATGCTCTGGATATTTACCCTGGGAAAAAAATCAAATGGCATCCTAATTTAATGTTTTTATTGTGAGCAGACAGCCTACTAACCTTTCAATTTTAAGTACAGTGAATTTTAAGTATAGTGAAAAATAATATATAGTAGTAATACTTTCACATTTATTAGTTCCAAAAATGCAATTACCATTAAAATACATACACATATTTATAAATGCATCCCTTTTTCATGATTTATATGGTGGGCAAAATTCCCATATCCTTTCCTTACTTCTTTCCTCACACACCTACTAAACAACAGCATCCACAACATTAAGATTTAAAACTTAATCTTTAAATATTTTCTTTGTTCTTTAGTGTTTTCCAGGGTGCTTGACCATACAAATTCGTACTATTTTGTGTATTTTCATTGTGATCTTAATATACTCTGTGGCTCAAGGATGTGTGGTGAGTATTGCATGATTTAACCTTCTGTTTAAGAACAACTACCTACAGATACTATAAATTACATACCACACTCTGTTCTGTGAATTCCTTCTTTTTATATTATTTATGCTGCCAAAGGACATTTCTTTAAGTTCTTTGCTGTAATTTGAAATTTCACTGCCCTGGGTCAGTATGTTGATTGGCAAAATTTACAGATAATATCTACATATAGAACACCTATAGAAATGTTTATATCAGATCTTAGCATTACATCGTATTGCTATTACGTTATATATTATGTTATTCATGGGAAAATTGTTTTTAAATATTCAGCTTCCTTACTACTTTGATGGCTAGAACTTAATGGCTAGAATGCATGGTATCAAGGAATATTACTTATTTCTACATGGCAATTTATGGGACATATATGTATACATACATAATAACAGTTCAATATTTTTAGTCCAGGCAGATCAGAAATGATCACATCTTAAAATCAAGACAAAAATGTGTAATGAGAACAGGCATTTATCCTGTGCTAATAAGAAGATCGATTAGCATCTAATGCCTAGGAAACCTCTTTAACAAAGCCAATTTGCTCAATACTTCTGAAAAGTGAGCTTCTTTTACTGTAGATTAGCAGCTTGGTCTACATGGTGGAGTTTCCCATCAAAATGGGGCTTAAACTTCACCTAAATATTTCACATTTAGTTGCCTTGTAGGATTCCTAGCATTCCATTGCAGTGTTGTGGCTGCTGATGCTAATGAATTAAATGTATTAAAGCATTAAAGCTTTCTTTCTCCAAAAGAAAGAATCCATGCAAAAAAGTAGCATGCAAATCAACAATGGAATTGCTGAGGAGGTAGATGTCTCCATCATGCCTTTGTGCAGGAGATAGGCAGAGTATTCTGAGCAAGAGGAAGGCACAGTTTACATGAGGGGATTCACTAATTGAAGTGCGGTTTTATATTTTGTGTATTCACTGGTCCATGGATCTGCCCTGAGAATATCTCCCAAGCTAATCTCTGTGACCTGGGATAACTGGCAGAAATCTGCCCATGGGTCTTTCACCTGTGAATTCCAATGGCCCAAGCGGCAGTACCAGAATTAGTCATTGAGATAATTCTGGGGATTCCTGAACACCAGCTGTTAGAGAACCACAGAGCCCTGAGCACATTTTCATGCATGTGATTGCTAACTTGCTAAGTGCCTAGAGATCTGCAGTGCTTCCACCCTAGCTGGCATCTGAGCAAGGGTTCTATACTTTGCTATTTAGAAGAATATTGTGATGTTATATTATAGGGCTTTTCGTGGATCTGCACCGATACATCTGCTGCTTACTTTGACTAAGTGAAACAAGTACCAGTTCTCACCCAAAGAGGATGAAAATGAAACATAGTCATTGTAAGGCCTAAGGCAACATCAGAACACAGACTAGAAATTAGAAGTTCTGGCCTCCAGCAGACCTGTGCTCATTCAGTTTTTACCTTAGAACACCTCATAAATATAATTTTATTTGTTAGTGAAGCTAAAATATCCTGTAACCACTGAAGTGCTTAGGAGAAATGTGCAATCAGTAGAAATTAGTTGTTCCTGCAAAAGGATGCCTCTAGAAGCCTCAGCTCTGAGAGCAGCTAGGTGTTGAGATTTCATTTGTCTTGTTACTCAGGAGATGGTGTTTTCTTGGTGGACTGCACATCATTTACAAAGATCTTGTTCATGCCTGTGTTTTCAGATGACTTTAATCTGAAGAGCATTTTTAAGAACATCAAACAAAATGACATTAAATAGAATTTTCACTTTACTTTTTCTGCTGTTACTTCACAATATTGGCTATTATGAATTTAACTCCTATTTTATCTCATCTTTTTAAATGATTACAACTCCCTGTAAAACATACTGATTAATTACCTTTTAGGTTATCAATAATTTTACAGCATGTCATAAAATTTCATTATCATCTGTTACAATGAAATAAAAAGGTTTCATAACCTTTTTAACACTTCTTAACACATTTCAAAAGAGATACTTAAGCACCAGGTGGGGCTTATGTGAGGCCCGTTAAAATCAGATTCCTATTACCATCCCACTCTCCTCCTTTATATTTTAACTCTTATCCTCTCTTTCAAGGAGTGCAATTAAAACAGGGACTTGCACTTTTGTCGGAGATTCCTCCCTTGCTTTCCTAATGGATCAGGAGTGTTTTCCTGATACTGCCTTTGGAAGAATAAGATAAATTTTCCTCAAATTTCCCAGAAATTTGCACTTTTTTTTTTCTTTTCCAGTCTAGGGAAGAGATAGAGCTCCTTGGATGTATGAAGTAGCATGGGTAATTAAAGGTGAACACTTATGTTTCAATCACATGTCATAACAGAAGGCGTTCTAAGGTGGATATTGTTCATGCGTAGCTTGTCCATCAATGATTAAAATATGTTTTTAGATTTGATTAATTGAAATTGGAGCTTCTATAAAACAAACCCAGTTCTTTCTGTAATCTGTGCACAAATGTTTCTCACCCATAAAATGCTTACTGAAGTCCTTTAGTTCAGGAGAAAGATATTGGCTTTAGAATGACTTGTTCTTGAGCACTGAAAGGGAAGCTATTTAACTAAGTCCTGACTTTAATTGCTTGGCCTTGCTGGCATCTGACGAACAAGGAGTGCGTGTTCCACCTAAAGCCAAGCATCAAGTTCCAGGAAAAGGAGGAGATTTTGTTAAAGCATATTTTCCCAATTAGGAAGGAGCTACAGCCAGCATCCACAGCAACAGAATTTCTGATTATTTTGCATTTAACTTTCCCCCTTGCTCTCCCCTGCTCTTTGCCAGGTTGGCTGCATGCCTTGGGTTTGGAACAGCAATTCCAGCAGTTCCATCGTTATCATTTCTCCTGGCGGAACAAACAAAACTATGAATGAACTTCCATGTGACACAGCCCACTATGCTTTCCTTTCCTGCGTGGTGGGGACTCTCACCTTGGCAATATTTCTACGTGTATCTTCCCTGCCAAAAATGATCCTCCTAGTTTTTGTTACAGTTTTGTACATAGTTGTTCTGGAGCTCAGCGGTTACAGAAAAGCAGTGGGGTAAGTGCCTTGCGGAGTAAAGCAACAAATATTTCAGTATAGGCAGTCACAGTATCGGCTGTTATCTGTGACCTGTTCTCTAGCAGTCCATGCCTGCATTAGGGCTATATAATCACTAGTTCCTGAGAAATACTTGAGCCTCAATTTTGCAGCAATTGCAGGATCTGGTAATGCTCATGGACAGGACATAAGTTCTTAGGAATGCGTAATTGCTGCCCTGTTATTCTGTAGTTTTGTCCTAACAAAACTCAGCTGATCACACTGCAGTTTAATTCTAATTTGAAATGAAAAAAAAAAAAAGTTAAAACCATTCCGTTTTTTGCCAGCCCTCAGCCACTTCCAATTTCATTTAAGCTTCTGAGATTTAGTTTTTTTTTAATATACCCAATTAAAAGCATGCACATACACTACAATAATGTGTATTATCATAAATTTCTCATGAAGCTGAATGTTGGTATGATACATTGATCAGATTTACTGTCACCTCTGTCCCTGCCTGTATGAGCCTCTTGCAAAAATGCCAGTGACGAGGGGGATATCCACAGGTTTCATACTGAAGATTTGATATTAAAAATAGACAATGTTTGGAATTTAAAAAAAAAAAAAAAAAAGAAAGGAATAACCTGTTTACTTTCTTTTCATTTTTAAAGGGGTGGCTCCTTTTATATGCATGGCTATGAACCAATATTAGCCATTTTGCTATTTTCCTGTGCTCTAGCACTGCATTCCAGGCAGGTGGACTTGAAGCTGCGTCTGGACTACCTCTGGGCTGTGCAGGCAAGTCACCAGGCTTCTCTTTCCTATACTCCTCTATGCAAAATGCTCTCTGATTTTTGAATCTACTTGCAAATGTTTCCAGGACAATTTTCTTGGACTGAAACACTTTCAAGGCCTTTCATATTTGTTGGGGTTTACAATGGGAAATTTATTGTAGCTTTCCTTCCACAGACCTATAAAATACAATTGCTTTGGAGAAGTAACTTTGTTTGCAGTTTTCATATTTCCTCAGTTTTAAAGCAGGCATTTAAGAGATACCATCTTGCTTGTGAGAATTGCATGATAAAATCAGAAAGAAAAAAATCAGTGTAGATAGGAAATTTGGGTTTGGGGGTCGTCATAGCTGCCACTGACCTAGATAGATGCTTGGCCTCTTTACTGATCTTGGCACCACCCCCTTGTTCTACTTGGTTCTCCGTGGAAAGTCTATTCCATGAGTGATAAATAACATGAATACCATATTGCAAGGTATGTTGAACTGTTTTCTGCTCTGTGTACAAGGTAGAAATGAATACTAGGGCTAATTAACTGAATAGTAGGGCTAATTTACATAATGTGCAGAGATACTACTGTGATGGATTTTATAGAGGTGCTTACAGAGCTTATCTGTTCAAATGAATAAGTAGGTAAAAAACATTATCCTTGTGCATATTGAGTTCTTTGGCATAAGAACCTGAGTATCAAAACCTCTGTGCTCATTGCTAATAGGAAGTATCTATATTTTCAAACTGACTTTGAACAATTTGCAGGTTCCAAGCTACTAACTGTGTAACAGTCTGTAAGAGGAGGTAAGGCGAAAAGGGACTATATAGAGAAAGAATTTCCTGTAGTTGCTGGATTTCAGGAGCTTTGTTGTACATGGTTTCCAGGGTCCTTGTGAATGCTTTAGCAATACCCCTTGCTATGTTTCTCTGTGACGTTAGTATTACTTTTCTCTGAACAATATTGACTTTACTTGGTTACATTTTTTCACAGTCAAAGTTTTAGAAACACCCTCAAGGACCATGCTGAATTTCTTCAACTTTAGCGGGGGGAGCTTGCAGGTTCTTTGCACAAACACTAAATTCCACAAACTGCTGATAGAGATGAAGACTCAGTTCTCCCAGCCGGTGCTGCATAAAAGACTTACGAGAAGCCATCCTGAACACCAGTCTAGTACTAACTAAATAATTTTTAAAACATCCAAAATATCCTGAAAGTAATGCCTTTAAGATAAGAATGTATAGATAGATTGTCTATGCTCAGCAAGCAGGAGCTAAGGTCTGAGTAAAAATGATTTCCATTAACTTTATCTTAGCCCACATAGCTACTGTTGCATCAGAAAAAAAAAAAAAGTGTTATGAGAAAAAGCAGATCTTAGAAAAGCAAAACTTAGTTTAAATGATACTTTTCAAGCAAAACTTACTGTCTTTTGCAGTCACTTGCATCTAGATCACACAGCCGGAACTGATCTCAAATGATGCACATCATCTCGAAGAATACATTTTGTGATTGATTGCAAATTGCTAAAACATTTATATGTGTCCTTACTGTTCACATTCCGTGGGTCACGTAGTTTGTTGCTGTTTCTGTTACCTCTATTCTATGCCAAATTTAATTCTTCTGAATATCACAGACTTTCAAAGTCTGTTTTTTTTTTAAAGAGGCAATGGGAGAGGAATACAGAATAGCAAATATAGGAGTACTTTACTTATATGATAGTGTTACTAATATAAATTATTCAAGAAAATTAATTATTTAAGAAAATTAAGGGAAAAAATGTACAAATAAATATAAATAACAAGTCTGTGAAGAAGCTGCCAAAACCAGAGTTGCTTACACAAGATTTGTCAGGGCAGGAAAATAGAAAAATTGCATGCCATGACTGATTGTCACAGTCTTTAGGGAAAACTAGAATATCATTCAGCAGTCTTTTCTAATTCATGACACCTATACAAAATATTTTTCTGCAATCTGTAGATCATAATTTCAAGACTGACTTGTGCTCCATGTTTAAAAATTGGCCCTACAGAAACTATTTTCTTGGGTCTTTTTCCTTTGGTTTTAGTGCCCCCTTCAGGTAAAATGATATTTCTGAAGCATTGGTGCTCAATTTCTTTTTTTAGCTGTATTGAAACACTGGATTTTTATGAAGTATCTCTTTAGCAAGTGGCATTGCTAAAGCATTTTATGCGTATTTGAAATCACCTCATTTTTCTGGTGATCCACTATTCAGATCACTCCTTGAGTACAGAATGTGCAACAAGTTCCCCGCGTTGTTAAATAATAAGTTGTTATGTTATTTGGCTGTATAGAAAAGGCAGTGGGTGCTTATCATATTGATGCGGAAAGCTAGAGTATCAAAGAACATGTTAAATTTTATCACCAAGTCTGAAAAAAAAAATGAAGGATGCTTTAAAATACTGCAGTTCTACAAATGCAGCAAGCTCTGCAAACTGACCTAGCTGCCATGAATACCAAACAGGCACAAGCAAAAGCAGAATGTTAAAAATGATGTCTCGTCTTCCTGTGATGTTTCCTTTTTATGCATGTTCATAGTAACCTGCCTTGTTTTTTGAGCTACCAGCTATTGCATAAATGTCATAGAATCATAGAATGCTTAAAGTTGGAAGGGACCTCTAGAGGTCATCCAGTCCAACCCCTCTGCACACGCAGGGTCACCTAGAGCACGTGGCACAGGACTGCATCCAAGCGCATTTTGAAGATCTCCAGAGAAGGAGACTTTACAACCTCTCTTGGCAGCCTGTTCCAGTGCTCTGTCACCCTCACCATTAAGAAATTTTTCCTTAAGTTCCTGTGGAACTTTTGATGCTTCAGTTTCTGGCTGTTTCCTGTAGTTCTGTCAGTGGCCACCACTGAAAAGAGGCCAGCACCATCCTCCTCACTGCCTACCTTGAGGTACTTATAGACACTGATCAGGGCCGCTCTCAGCCTCCTCTTCTTCAGGCTGAACAGGCTGAGCTCTTAAAGTCTTTCCTCATAGGGCAGATGTTTCAGGCCCCTGATCATCCTTGAAGCCCTGTGCTGCACTCTCTCCAGCAGCTCCGCATCCCTTTTGTACTAGGGGGCCCAGAACTGGACACAGTGCTCCAGATCTGGCCTCACTAGGGCTGAGGGGCAGTATCACCTCCCTCAACCTGCTGGAGGCACTCTTCTGAACGCACCCCAGGATGCCATACTGAATAAATTGAACAGGACTGGACTGAGGACTGACCCCTGGGGCACACAGCTAGCTACAGGCCTCCAGCTAGAGTCTGCACCACTGATCACCACCCTCTGGGCTCTGCCATCCAGCCAGTTAATCCACTTCAGCGTCCACTCATCTGTCCCACACTTCTGGAGCTTGCCCAGGAGGATTCTGTGAAAATGAGAATTCGGGAGGCAAAATTCACTCTGATAATAAGGAATAGATTCTAGAAAAGTAATTTTTGGAAAGAGATTATTAAGGTCTAGGCTGGAATTTGCAAAGCTAGGTCACCCATGTGCAATCCCTAGAAATTTTTATTTGTTTCTTTGTTTGTTTAATAATAATTATTGCTTCCTGGCCTGCAGTTCTCAATGACTTCTCTGAGTCAGGTCACCTAAATATGACACCGGAGCCTCCAAATTTGCTAACTCCCAGATATTCTTTCCAAATATCATCATTCACAAGAATGGCAGAATTCCTGTTACCTTTGTCCACAGCAATCCCTGTGCACAGGAATTGTATATGCATTCATGACAAGTACCAGGGTAGTTAAAGTCACCTCTAGAAATGCATGTTGTTTCTATCAAAATCATTTTAAAAACTGCATGTTTTTCTTAAGCATATTCGATTATAAAACAGTTCTCTCATTTAAAGCTACTGTTCCTACTCTACTTTATAAGTATTTTGCTTTGGATTAATAGATAGATTATTTTGTAGTATCAAGTAACTGTTTGCTTTTTGGAAAGATTTTTCTTTTTTCCTTTGTCCCGACAGGCAGAAGAAGAGAGAGATGATATGGAGAGAGTTAAACTGGATAATAAAAGAATTCTTTTCAACTTGTTGCCAGCACATGTTGCACAACATTTTCTTATGTCTAATCCAAGGAATATGGTAAGAGAAGATAAAATTTAAATACATGAGAATGTGCAAGGTTGTGACCACATGTTGCTTAGGTCAACTTTCAACTGTATATTTTCAAGAAAATGTTGGAATTTTTAAATAGCATTCATGTTAGAATGAATGGGTTTGCAAAAACTTGTATTTAGAAATTAGATCAGGATTATTTCCTTCTTTGTAGTGCCCTTCTAGGAAAGATTTTAGTAAATTATTGTTTAAGTGAATATTGTGTCATTTAACATCAGTGCAGCTCAGTGCCTACATGTAAATGAGCAAAGCCTTTTTCAATGAAGTCAAGGCTTCCATTACAAAACTCATCAATTTAAGAATAAAATTAGGGGATGTATCCCCCTCAAGAAAGATGCAGTAGCTTTAATCTTAAAAGCAGCAATGGTTCACTGGTTCAGGTCTGTCAAGTCAGAGTTCTTGTAGAGTGGCTGTAGTATTTGGTATGGCTACAATGACTGTGATGCCACTTTTCCAAGCGATGAGTCTCTGTGCTTAAGAGTTTGACCAGGGGTATTTGCACCACAGAAGAGTGAGTTTTCTTTCTTTGACCTCTCTGGATTCTTATGCAAAAGCTTTACAATGCAAAACAACATTATATGGTTAATGTCTAATCCAAAACTCTGCAACTCAGAGGAGAAAGAGGTAAAGGAGGAAGGCTGACAGTACCACAGAGGAAAAAGAAAGGCAACACAAAAACAAAAGAAGCACTGTTCTGTCTCCTATTTTAGTTTTAAAATTAAACTAGGGAAAATCTAGTGAAATTTCTCATACAATAAAAGTTCTAAAACTGTTCAGACTTTCTATTACCTACTACATTGGACTTTCTATTTCCTGCTACATTTTCAGTCAATGTTTCCCAACCTAAGCCATAAAAACCCACTAGACTGACTTAAATGTCTTTGATAATTTATGGATCTCTGTTTTTCAAGGTAGGGAGCCTGCCTTGTTGGCTTTCTTTCTAGCAAAATTGAACACTTTTGTTCTAGCTAGCAAAGCAGCATCTCTCATTGCTTAGCACTAGAATAGATATCATAATACTCTTGTCTGTTTTAGATTATTTATTTAAAATAAAAATATATCTGCTTATGAAATGCAGGACCTTTATTACCAGTCATATTCACAAGTGGGAGTGATGTTTGCTTCCATCCCAAATTTCAATGATTTCTACATCGAACTAGATGGCAATAATATGGGAGTGGAGTGTTTACGCCTGCTAAATGAGATTATTGCTGATTTTGATGAGGTAAGGTCTAAATTCATTGTCTTTTGACAATATCAGTTCTACCAGACTACCAGACTGCTGCAAACAAAGACTATTTGTAGAATTAGTATTTCTTAATAAAATAAATCTGTGAACTTCCTAATTAGTGAGAGTTAATGCCCAATGCCCCTCTCTAAGAGTTTGTTTTATACTTTTAGGCACCTAAATCTGTCCTCAAGTACCTCTAATATCTAAGTATTTAAAATACGAGTTACTGGTAATTTTCCCAATGACCTCAAGGTGAGAATACCTTAACATACCAGAAATAATATGGTTTAATCAACTGTGCACTGATAACTGTGGTTGGTTGTCTAAAATATTATGTAATATTTAACAGTTTTATGTTTTAAACAAAGCTTATGGACAAAGAATATTATAAGGACATAGAAAAGATCAAGACAATTGGAAGCACATATATGGCAGCTGTGGGACTTGTACCTACTTCGGGAACCAAGGTAAGTAGATTTTATTGAACTGTAATTTGTGGTGAACAAACTGTGCTTCTCCAATTTCCAGAGTAGTATGTGATTATGTACATCTGTTTTAATTTTCTGCAACAGCTTAAATCATAAATTCAAATAGCAACCTTAGCCTGAAAATAAAGGTTGCCATCCTGCCTGCTGCTCATCAGATTAGATTTGGGATTTCATTGCCTGTAGTTCTGGATTCTCAGCAAATTGGTGTCAAAAGTCCCTAAATCAGATTAGTGGTGTTTTAAGCCTGGCATCATAGATGACCTTGAAAGATGCAGGGCAAGGAAGGATCTAGATGTCATGTTTTGCTGCTAAACAAACACATGAACAATAAATTGTGTGGAGTTTTCTTTTTTTTATTTTTTACATTGAAATTTGGGTGCATCCTACAGTCATAGCAAATATCCCCCTACAATCTCATCCCAGACAGGAATTTAACACTAGCTACCTCATGACATTTTATCCCAGCCCTTACAAATTAGCTCTTCTTTTTATCCACTGCTCCATTCTCTTTATTGCTTTAATTACTCAATGATAAAAAAGTCAGAGTAATTTCAGAGCTGCTGGTTCTGAGGCAGTTCTCCATAAGTCTCCTCATTACTGCTCCCGTGCATGTTTCTCACCTTCACATTGGGTCGTGGGTTTTCCTAAATTTGCATGCAGCATCTTGAACAGCAGAAACCACTGTGAGCGGTATCCAGAATCAACTGTACACAGAGCATTATGCAAATTATTAATAAAAAAATAAATAAAGATAGTTGTAATGTGAATGAAAGGAGTGCCTGCTCTCAGTCCGTCCAGAACTTCCAGAAGTTTCTTCCTTGGTCTGATATGCAGGTACGTATGTTGCAGAGGTATAGCTGATTCATACAGTTTAGCACTGCAAAATAATACCAAATTAAAGGGCAAAGGCAAAAAAAAAAAAAAAAGGCCAGAAGATGGCCTGCGAATCTTTGGAATCATGTTGAATTCCACATTGGAATCATGTTGAAGCATTTTGCACACAATTAGTGTTTTTTGTGCAGGCTACATCTACAGATGGTGTTTTTTATATCATTCTTAGCTTAGAAATCTAGATATTGCAAAAAGGAGTTTTTAAAGCATTTACATTGCAATGTTTGATTCCCGGATCCTGAGATAGGGAGAAAAAAAAAAAAAAACCCTGTGAGTTTTGTTCAGTGTGGTGTCAGCCAAACAGGCAAAGGCATGCTTGTGTGTCTGCTATAAATGCTCTTTGAACTACAGTCTTGAAAACAAGTGTGTTATTGGGTAACTTTGACAGCATACGTTCCAAAATCTAAATTTGTTTGGTCTCGTGCATTTTATAGTTGTTAACTGAAGGATCAGCTGAGTTAGTCCAGCTTAGCACAGTCGTGCATTTTAAATAGCTGTACAAGGTCTTGTCCAGGGCTGTACCTTTTTTTCTGAAACATAAATTGCACACAATTTTGATCTTTGCTGCATAGGTAGAATTTATTTAATGTTCCATATTCCGGAAAATCTGAAGATCTTGTATGAAAACAGGCAATATTTTTGATTGTAATTTAGATTTTCAGCCCTTCTGTGACCTTTTTCCTACTGATTGTATGATACAAAGAAACAGAAATTAACCACCTCCCATGCGCAGTTTCCCACTAGGTTTTCAGGATGCAGCAATGTATTAGAAACATGGTAATCCAGGGTCATCAATCCCAGAGGATCACTGCCAGGAGTCCACTCTCTGGAGTCTTTCCAATAGCTTTTCTTCTGAAATATTAAATAAATATTTGTTTGCCAGTTAAGCCACCAGAGCAGCACACAAACCAAGCTCCTTGTAGACCTATAGCTTCTTCCTGCATGTGGAGCCCTTGGAAATGAAGTCTGTGTTTTCATCAGGGCCCCAATTTTTCAGTGGGCTTTAGTGTGATTTCAGAAGAGCTTGATAGTTGCCCTTTTGTGAGACTGCTGCTGCTTGAAATTCATGCCATATTTGTCACCAGTCCTCTCTCCTACCAGCATGTAGGGTCTTGCAGAAAACCAAAGTTTGCATGAGGCAGCAAAGAGGTTAAAGGAAAAGCAATAGAGAGACCAATTAAAGAAAGATGAAGACTCTTCCTTCTTCCTTCACCTGGTCTACTGTATTCACCAATTCACCACCTCTATTGCAAGCATGGCCATTAGCTCCTTTAACTTTAAATTTAAGTCCTGTTCTTTCTTCGTCTTGCTGGGACTGCAAAAAAAGTAGAGGTAGTTGGCATTATAAGATGCAGAATGCCAGAGAGCCAGGCATGTATTTAAAAAAAATGGGAATGGCCCAAGGCTGGCTTTCATCTTTTTTTGTTTTGTTTTGTTTTGTTAAAGCTTTACTCTATTTTTTTTAGAATTTCCCAGCTGCTTGAAGGATCTCCTTCTAGTGGAGCCAAATAAATCAAATAGCAACTTGTTTCTCAGGTTCCTCAGCCACTCTCAACTTCTCCAGTCACAAAATCTCACTATCATGATAACAACCCAGCGAACTCTCATCTCTTGCCAGCTGCCGTAACCCTATTGGGCAACTCTTCGCTGCAGCTACTCTGCCATGGGCCCTGCATTGTTTTCACCATCTCCCACCTCTAGCCCACTTTGCAGACTTGTTAAAGAAATCATATTTGTTGTTGGAATAGGAGCACAACAGAAAAGCATCCCTATAGCGCTGGGCCAAAGGGCCACCCCAATAACCTGTCCTTACCTGCCAGGCATAGCTCCTTCAGCAGGGCATTGGGTGCAGGACAAATGTGCAGACCTCAAAGGTTTTCCACCTTCAAACAACGTGCAGCTTTGGGAGCTCCAAAGCTAGAAATAGTATCTGCTTAATGATTTGTAACAAATACTTATTTCATAATTTTTTCTAAGTATTTTTGAATATAGCTAAGCTTTTGGGATGCATAGTCTCCTCTGACAATGAATTCCACAGCTTAATTAGACCATCAGTATAAATAAAAATATTTCTTTGTGATTTATTTTAAGCCTGATACTCTTAACATTTCATTTGGTCCCTCATAATCCTTTTATATGGTTCCATGTGCCATCATTCATTTACGTATGTTTCATAACAAATCGCTTCAGCTTGTCTGGAAAGGAAAGCAAATAGGGGTGTTCTGCCTCTCACAAGAGTAAACTTAACAGGAATTTTGTCAATGGGAACAGCATGCACCCCCATGGAACTAAGAGCTAGAAAAAGCCCGAAAGGGAGAAGAGGGCAGAAACTACAGTTATTAATAATCATTGGGCAAAGCAGTTCTGTTAGAAAGCAGATTTTATTCCCTGCCATGCTCACAACAAACATCTGCGGCTCTCTAGCAACAGAAACTCTTTACCACGGGAACATTGCTTTTCATTCTTCCCAGAATCCAAAAAGAGGAAAAGAAAGAATTTAGTCCTTGAAAAAAGAATGCTTGAGCTCTAGCCACCATCAAAAATTCCCCTTCAACATCAGCAAAATAGGCTTGCTGCCTTTCCTAAGCCTTTCAGTCTGAGTCTGTCATTGCTTTTCAGTTCATTATTTAAATTGTCTCTCTCTACCATGCAAATCTAATGTGCAACATTATTTTGTACTTAGGCTAAAAAATCAATTTATGCCCATCTGAGTACACTGGCAGATTTTGCAATAGAGATGTTTGACGTGCTTGATGAAATCAACTATCAGTCTTACAATGACTTTGTCCTACGAGTTGGTAAGTCACATTTCTACAATAATCGCGTGAGGGGAACACTGTTGTTGCTGGCTTTCCCTGTGCTCCCTGCTAAGGATTGCCCATTCTGTACTCTTTAGTAAAGCTGAAAAGCCTCCTTTAGTGAAACATGTACATCCATATAGAAGATAAGCAGGCTGAATGGTGGGCATCAGTTTTGAGGATTTATTCTTATACTGTATAGTTCCTGGAAGGAATTTTTGGTTGGAGAAGGCAGGAGGAGAGAGAAGAGACTTGCTAAGGTAGTTAGGTAGTTACTTGAGATTAAGAAGCACACACAAGTTTTTGAATCCTTGACATGCGTTAGTCCCCAAGTTACTGCACTGTGCTGGCAGAAAGCACTCTCAACAGCTCCTACTGACACTTCTATGCTTCATATAACTACTGAAATATTAATTGACTGATTGAAAGAGAAATATGGCCAAATCTGTAGCTCACAAGTTATAACACTTGATCCATCCAGATAGATCCAGTGGGCGATAAGGGCATACTAGTATATATGAATATTTTCCATATATGGTTGCATATTTCATTTTGTTGAAATTAAAATAATAATAATAATAATAAAAACTCTTGATATTGGTCAAAGAAACTTTCCTGTTGAATTCTAGGGTTAGATATATAGTTTGAAAAGTTCTCCCTTTGATTTCTTTTTTTTTTTGATATTTTTGTTTTTTTTTTTTTTTGCCAGTCTCCCCAGCTGTTTTATGAATGGCCACTATTGTTTCCAAAAAATCAAATCCTCTGTTTTTCACAACACAAAATTTGCATACTCTATATGTTATCTCATATCTTACCTTTCTGAGTTGTTTCTCCCAGTTATTTCTCGGGTTCACTTCCATCCATCCAGTTCCTGTCTAATGGTGTAGCACTGTTCCCATTTCACTAATTTTTCTAACACAGATGGTTTTCTCCGGGCTTTCTCTATATAAACTTCCATGGTTTGGAATTGTGAGAACTATGTGGCCAGGGGGAAAAGTGAGGTTGCTAGCCATGGAGTCCTGAGAAAAACCAAAGACATCAGGGGTAGCAATAAGGGAGTTATACAACTCTCCCACGCATTCTAGTAATGACAAGTAATTACAGATCCCCAATTCTCCCTAGAACTGTGTTATAACTGTTTTTTTCCCAGGTTACATTGGGGCAGAGATAGTACAAATATCTTCTCCCCCTTTTCTATGCAACTAGCCTGGGAAAGGCCTTGCACACAGCCCCATGTAGTGTTTGGCCGTGTAGTATTTGGCACCTGCAGTTCTTCAGGACACACGAGAAAGGGAAATGTCCCCTTTTTTCTTTTTATTTTATCAAATAGGGAACCAAAATCTTTTAGAATCGTAACAGTGAACATTGTGTTTATTAAGAAAGATGCTAGAGCCATATTCACATTCTTCTCTCTACTTCCAGGGTTCTCTCTACTTCAGTGCAACACCTGAGCTATCCAGTACTGATGATCAAATATGACCTGATTCCCTTACCCCAACTCTGTGGCTCCCCAGACCACTATTTCTGTTTAGCTTGGAATATTCCCCATTTGAAGGCTTTGAATAGGCAACCACAGCAGAAGTCATCGGAAGCAATTAGAGTTTTCTAACAATTTTTCCTGAACTGGTCCATAGATAAACTTTGCGCTACCACTACTTTCCTTTTCTTGTCTTTAAAACATGCAAAAAGTAAAATCCACAGATGAGCAAAATGTTTATGTTGTCTTATCATATTGCATTTCCAGGAACATTATATTAGTTTTTTTTCTAAAATCCTTACAAATCCCAAACGCCCAAAATGCCCAAATAGCGTTAATGTATATTAACATAATCAATGACCAGGAAAAATCTTGAGGCACTTGTGTTCAATCTAATTTACAGCAGTGATTTTTTTTTCAGATAATATGCTGTCATTTTTGAAAGACTAATGAAAGCATTATTATTCTGATTTTAGGTATTAATGTTGGCCCTGTAGTGGCAGGAGTCATTGGAGCCAGAAGACCGCAATATGATATCTGGGGGAACACTGTAAATGTTGCCAGCCGAATGGATAGTACTGGAGTTCAGGGGAAAATTCAGGTGAGTGCATTCTGAGAGCACTTTGCAAGCTTTATGCACCTTCTGGTTCGTATTTTGTTGCATTTTCAAAACTGCCTAGAAAATTCAGCTTCTCACGTTCTCTAGATGATTCAGACCTTAGACATATATTTATTTCCCATCATAATTCACTACTTCCCTTCACTACTTGGAGGCAGTGAATCCATTTTGCATCCAAAGAAACAGATTTCACATTTAATTCTCTGATACATATTATGCAGCTGGAGGCAACCCTCAGAACTCCAACAGTGTATGGGCAGGTCTTGAGCTGCAGGAATTTTGCTTGACTAAAAACTACAAGGAAGGGATCTATGTCCACTTGCGCCCTGCTGTATTTTATGTAACTTTAAAAATTTTTAGGATACTTTGGATCAGAGGGGCTACAGAGACAGAGGACGTTACTGGTCTACTAGAGCTTGGCTAGAAGCAATAGCTGCACTTTCAGAGGCTGCGCTTCTGAAAATCTCAATGAACTTTTTGGGGTCCTTTATCTGAAATACCTATTTTTTTCTCACGCTATTTCTTGCAGAAAGTTGAACCAACCTCCAGCAGTAGAGAAGTTGGTTACATATTTCTGATGGAGAGGGCTTATTTTGACTGTATAATTATTTAACTCAAGATCAAAAGTTTTGCCTCTCTGATTCCAGTTTGGTATACCTAATTCCTTAAGAAAATTCTCAGTGAAACCAAGACAACAGAACAACAGTAGCTACTTGTTCATTCAGCTCCACGTGTTTCATGAAACAGAAGTGGGGAGAGTTTGAACAGTTCTGGGATTAACCTTGTATGAATAGAAAAACCTAATAGATCTTTTATTTTTCTGTCTTCAGGTGACAGAAGAAGTTCAGCGGATATTAAAGAGGTGCAGCTATGAATTTGTGTGCCGGGGTAAAGTCAGTGTAAAGGGAAAAGGTGAAATGTTGACCTATTTCCTGGAAGGAAAGGCCAATGGAAATAATTCACAAACACGGTCTTTAAACTTAGAGCGGAAAATGTACCCTTATGGGAGAGCAAACATTCAAACAAAGTTGGGAACCAGCTGCCCCTCAGTGTCCTCGGTCGCTGGCTTTCCTACCAAAGCTGGGCTCGAAGCAGCTCAAGCATCCACTACTCACACAAATCAAACACTACATTATCTTCCTTCAGTGCCAGCTGTGAAGGAGGCATAGAGTAAAGGCAGTTTGGTTGTGCCATTTGCAACGAACTTGGAGTTCAGTGGTTGCCTGAATTTTCACCAAGAGGGCATAGGCCATGGCATTATCTAAGGACCAATACAACCCAACCAAAGAGAACTGGGAGACTGTGTAATGAACTCTTGTGATGGAACCTATAAGGGCTAACAATTCTGTTAGGAAATGTCAAAACCTGATTTTCTGGAAATAAGGAATATTTTCTTGGCATTTTTAAAGGATATATGAAAAAAATACACCAAGACAAACAGTGTGTTTGTATATATGTTTTAATCTATATATGCACATATACAAGCACTCCTATGTAGACTTAATAGAGATTTGTGTATAAAAATATAAAAAAGTATTTATTTACACATCCACCTGCAATGACAAAGCAAAGAGATTTCTTTTCCTGTTCTAGCCAGCGCTGCTGGGTCTAAGATTAGCAAAACTGCATCTAACTTGGGAGTGTAGGGCAGCTGGAAGCTCTTCGGGGCTATAGCAAGAGCTAAAGAAACTATGCTCCCAGTGCTTGAATTCAAGCAACGAAAACTTATCAGTGACAGATTATGGCTGGATTCGGTAACTGATAAACCAATGTATTTTTTTAATTTCTATTTATTTGCATGCTCCAAGAACTTTGAAAAAATTCAAAATCATAACATGAGGATATGAAGTAGATAAATGACAGGGCTTAAAATTTGTCAGGATCGCAATAGCTATTCCTGCAATTAAAAAAAAAAAAAAAAGTTGTTAAAGTTTTAGAAGTTGCTACCTCTTCACAGATCATTTGATTCTGTGTGAGACAAAAGTGCCAGCCTCCCAGCACAGCAATATACTTACAGAGTATAGAAACAGTCCTTCCTGTTTTATGTTCAATGCCACTTTTTTTCAGAACAGCAGAGGATAGTTAATTGATGCCACAGTTTTATTATGTCTTGATTTTACCCAGGCTAACTCTTCAAAGTTGTACAATTACAGAAAGGTATAATTCTGAGAAACAAGCACAGTCAAACTTTGCCCAAATGAGCAAAGCTTGTTGTTTGCTTGCTAAGAGAGTGAGGGCTGCTCTTCATCTGCATAAAAGGGAACATATTTTGACTAGTTTTAGTGCAGCCCATATCCTAATGTGCAGGGTTTCATCCTGAAATGCAGCTCTGGATGGGAAATATGGTGTGCAGCTCTGTAGCTGAGGTGAGAGCAGCCCCAGGTCATCCCACCAAGGATGGATGGCGAGGTGGTCCATCAGTGGACCGCCACATGACTACTGCTGTAAAGACCTTGTGGGTATATGTGAGTTAACCAGCCTTGCTGCTTCCCAAAAGAGAAGCAAAACTTTACTTTGTCTAAAAAAAAGCAAAACTTCCATTTAGCTTTAAAAAAATTAGTAATGCTGAAGCTGTCTGCAATATACAGTTGACAACTTGCATGTCGTATGTGTTACCTTGGCATTAAGAGGGTCTATTTTGTTAACCGATTCAAGTGGAAAGAGGATTCTGGATACAATTCCTCCTCCCGTCAGCTTTTTTTTTTAGTATTATTCTTTATTATTTTTATTTTAAAGAATCACTGTTTCTATTTTAAAACTATAGAAAAATATTATGTCAATAGACGCAAAGCATTAAAAAAAAAGCTGTAGTTTTCAGTTCCCATATGGCCATGTCAGGGTGCTATGGGATTCTGCAGGTCTTCAGTAGGGTTTTTAAATAACTGTCAGCTTGGTGCTTCATTACAAAACTGGCAAAACTAGTGTTGTGATTAGAGGGAGTTGAAGGATTGATTCCTGAAGGATTGAACTGAGGATTGATTCCTGGCTGCACTAGGTGTGTATGCACCCTGGCTGACCTACAGAAAGTCCCTGAATTTCTTTACCTTTTGAGACATTCAAAGATATTTATTTAAATACCTTCATAAAAGATAAATTTAAATAATGAATATTTGCCTAATTATTTGCAAATGGTGTCCACATAATCCTGCAGTAAGTTAAATATTTAACTAAAATAGGAAGTACTAAGTGCAATAATATTAATTATCTAACTCCACTCACAGAGATCCCAAGTTGCATAAGCTACATATCAATGGGCTTCACTGATGTTAATCAAACTTTGTTTTAATGTGTACCGTTATCACAAACATTTTTGTATCCTACGTGTAGGTCAAGTAGCACAAGATCACGCTGGAAAATATAGCCATTAACTCCCTGCAGAAAGCTTCCAATGAGAGTGTGTTTTGTTACTCTTTGAATGGGTCCAAAACAGAGGTATAATCCCATTCTTTCATATTTCACTAAGCTTCACTACCTGACAGTGATTTTTTCCCTTTGCTGATATTTTTGGGACTGTCCTGCAAAGCCAATTTACAATGCAATGGCATTTGGCAGATGCCTCAAAAAATGCAACATGGATGTGTCAAACCAACAGCAGTTTTCCTGGAAGAATTATTCTGTACTCTGTCTAGGTCTTGATAAACACCTTCCCATCATAGAAACACAAAAGCTGGAAACTCATTCCCAGCCTACTTCTGGAGTAAGGTTAGTGTGGGAGATCGTGAAGCAAGGTAAAAGTGGATCATCCACCTAAAATTTTTAAAAGATTAGCGGGTGCTAGTGAAACCACTGTTTGCTTGAGTCCTGTCCTTAACATTTTTGGGTTTGTTGATATTGTTGCTGTTTTGACCATGGGAAAAACTATGTTTTTCCTATTTCTTTTTAGCACAGGACTGAGCAGTGTGGAACCATGAACATGTTCAGCCAAGACACAAACTAATAAATAGCAATGCAAAACTGATAGAAAGTGTTTAGCAGCTGTTCCAGCAGGGAAGACTAAACACCCCCTGAAATTTTGATATAATAAAACTGTAGTCTTGACTTTATGATTGCCTAGCCAATCATATACTTTTTTCTTCATTGTTTTGTGTATATTTGTTTTATTTTGACTCTTGTATGATAGCTTTAAATTACAGATTTAATTTCCCTTCTTTTCTGCATTTTTTGGTAACTTTAGCAAGTTTTAAGGAAAGGAAAGAGTAATGATGATAATAGTTCTGCTAACCCCACAAATGCACATTATCTGCCAAATCTAAGACATTGACCCTGACATCTCTCTTGGTAATTGGCTGAAGGTAATATTTGGCACACTCCAATACCCATGAAAGCAATCTGAAAGATTTTGTTGGGGTTTGGTAGCATTTGCCCACCTGAACGCATGCAAAGGTGTTTCCTATATTGCATTCATTAAACTTTCTGTTCAAGCTTTGTCACTTTTGACTAGATGATCTTGCTGTAGCCTCAGCAAGGGGTCCCTTCTGTCCCACGGAGCCCCAAGGGCCCTCACTTATAATGGAGGGTAATTATGTGGGTATATCACGGGCAGAAAGGTCTCTGGCATTTCTATTTAATCTTTTGTGCAGCTGCTATCTTGAAACAAGTAACAGATAGAGCCCTACAACAAAGTGATGCCATTACGGCATGTCAGTTTCTGTCAGTAGCAAGCACAATATCTCTCATCAGTTTGCACGTTTTCTCTTTAAGATAATAGTAATAAATGAATTATTTTCATTCTTTATATAAGCGTATAAGTATCAGAGATCTTCAAACTTACTTTACTGTCTTGGGTCCTGATTTCAAAATGTTTCTATGCTACCTTTATCTTAATTACTGTTCTACTGCTGAGATTACAAACTGGCATTCAGTTAAATTACTGGCTAGGTGTTTCCAAATATTTTGCATTTGCAGTGAAAGCTGTTTCATCCAGCCTGTACAATGCTTTTTCGTAGCAGCTTCCCGCTATGACAGTTTGCGCTCCATGGTATTTGCCAAAACACATGAAAACTCGCACTTACTTCTTTCTCTGGGTAAGATTGAGAGCCAAAACCTTCAGTTCCTTGGGGCTGAACCTCTGTTCCTTACAGACCTGCAAGGCCTGCAGGGATCACCCAGAGATTAGCACATTGAGGAAAGTCAGGATTTGAACTTCTCTAGGCAAAAATCTGCTTTGGGTTATGGTGATGCTTTGCCAAGCTGGTCCCAAGGCACTATTTTACGTCTCTGTAGCCCAGAGTAGATTATGCGCCTGAGTCTATTCCCCGCTTTTGCCTGTAGTGTAGTTGTAAGGCAAAAGAAAGTACTTGAGAGGCACCGTAAGAAAGCAGGACATAACCTGCCATGTCAGCGCTTCGAGGAGTCTGAGTACATTAGTAAGTAGTGTGAACCATTTTCATTTGTGGAGTATTGGCTCTTAGCAGAAGCAAAGCATTTTCTCGACATCAGCAAGTACGGTTTGTGTATGCATTCTACGCAGACAGGAGGACTATTTAGCCATACCGTCCTTTCGAGTTAGAGTTTTGTATTACAGTGAAAAACAACATTTTTTAATTTGTGATAAACCTGTATTATAATGCCTTATTTATTTTTAATCTTGTACAGTGTTACAAAGCAACAATCAACATTGGCCTTTCATGTAATATTCACTTTACAAGATGTATTGTATTAAATTTTGTAAATAGATTTAGCTCTGACAGGTAATTGCATGTACACTTGTAAAAAAAGATGCAAAAGGGCACACTTTTAACAAATATTAATGGTTTTTGTAACAGACATTTTACATGTGCATGGAGATTATAAATCCTTTGGAAATGAATGTCCGTTTGCTTTCCCTTGAAAACTACTGCATGCCACTCATGCCTGACTTCAGTAAAACAAAACAAAACAGTAAGTTTTTTATTTTTTTTTAACATATCACTTCTGGCACAGAGTTAAATTCACTAGTTGCATGTGCAATCAGCAAAGCAAAATGCAAACAGCAAAATATGAAGAAAAAGAAAACAATTTAATGATCTTGATCTGCCAAGTGTTCCAAGGTCCATAATACAGTATAACAAATGTGTTTTCAAAATCTATGCTATCTTTATAAGGTACTTTTTGGTCGTTAGAAGCAATAAACTCTATTTACTGTAATATTAAAAACAAGCAGATGTCCTAGTTCATAATGGTGTAATATCTGACATTCAGTGGGTACTCCCTGAATTGATGTAGTATAGTCATTAAAGAGAAGGACCAGATGTCAAATCCATCATTGCTGTATGCAGGTGCAACACTATTGAAGGTAAAGGAGGTGAATTTGACCCATTGATGTTACCCAGAGCATATTTTTAGTGTTATTGTATCTGAGAAGTACACAATGCAAATAGATTCTTTACCTAAATATATAGCTATATATGATATATATATACATACATAAATTCATTTTAATGCCTTATTTTTGTTAGGTTCTTGACTCATTTTCCAAATAAAATTGTATTGCTATATGGAAAGTATTGAATGAAACTTCTAAGAGAAATTCATTGGATTCTCTGACTTTATGATATTCCTTAAATATCATAGCGGACCTCAAAGCTGGAACCTGACATCAGTCAGTGATATGGGAGTAACGCCTTAGTATCCAGTCTCCTACCTGATTCTTCCCATATTGCTGCTAAGCAAAACTTTAAATTCTGAAGATATTTTTCATGAGTCATTTTTAAAGTTATTGTATCTATGACACTACAGCTGGGAACTGCCCAATGAATTACTTAAATGATACTGTATTCAGGAGCATTGTAGAAGCATAATGCAGAGGTTGGTTGCAGAGAGTGAAGGATGTGAACTGGGTCTGCCATAAGAGATAAGGGACAGATAAGAGCTTTTTGCATCTTACAGGTTTTGTTGTTAAAATAGGACTTACAAATGCTTTAGTTTGTTTAATTACAGTAATCAGATGACTCTGTGGTTAACTAAGCAGTGCAGCTTCTGTAAGTAACCTTGTCATCGTATGTTAAGATGTAGATTTATACATTATGTTTCTGTTGGCTGCATACAAGAACCATTACCTTGTGTTGATGATTGGCTTCAAAGAGCAGTTCAAGGTTTTTAATAGTCATGAATTAATCCATCTCAAATTCATTGGGTCTTGCATTTCAGTGTGACATAAGTGTTGTGACTAATGACAATCTGGACTCTGCTTCTCTACTCCTAACCCTGTTTATGATTGGCTTTTTCAGGAATTTTGCATTGGCTTTTTCAGTTCTTTATTCCTTTTAACCTCATCTATCTCTGAGCTTTCACACCACTCACTCCTGTCCAAAACTAAATAGCAAATAAATATATAAGTCTAAATAAATAAGTAAAGATACATACAAAGCGGGAGGAAAGAGCAGAAGGCATCTGCCTTCTGATTTTGATTTCACTTAAAAGCATCACACTGCATGGGCTGATGGTGTCACTTAAAAGGCATCTGATGAGAACAAGGGCAAAAACAGGGAAAAGAAAAAATGCACAATACAAACAAGGGAACAAAATAGCAAAAAGAAGACTACAAAAAAGCACTTTTTTAAAGGCAAAAGTTTAAACACAGCACTCCTCCTGAAGTCAGTTGCAAAGCTCCCAGTGGCACAGGGCAGGCCTTGAGCATCCGAACTGGCAAAGTACTCATCCAGATCCCTAGTGCAGCAAAATTTAAGCTTGTGCTTACGCGCATGGCTGGATTTCTGAGTTTTCATGTCTGTTTATCTTTCCAGTAGTGTTCAAGATCTCTCAGTGAACTGCATTGAGGCTTCCAGACAGAATCGTTAATAAAGGTTGGGGATTGTTATCTCTGATGCCTCTTTTCTAATCACAGGGAGGCATTGTGAAGTCTGAACTAGTGTTAGTTAATAGATGTAGCCAATGTGCTGAAGGGACTTGGCTTTGCTTGTGCCTTATTGCCTGCTGGAGGATCGGCGTCTTTATCTCGGGATCCCCGTTTTATGCCTCCTGTGGCATTGAACATGTCACACAAGCATAAAACTGAAGAAATGAACAGTGCTGCATCACTGTGAAATTCTTTTACCACTTCCTTTCCCACTTTGGTTTACTACCAGTGCAGCTGTACCACTGCAAGGGGTGATCTAAGTGTCCGTGGAGGGAGGCCATGCGCAGGTGCACGTGGCTCCAAGCCAAATAAGAACAGATTTTTTTTTTTTTCCTAAAAAACTCAGTGTACACAGTGAGCTGAGTTTTGCAGAAAATCTAGCCAGGTATCTTGGAGCTCCTCTTGAAAGAGCTGGCACCCCTCGTCTCAAGAGCAGTGTTATAAAACATGGTGGTTAAAAAAAAATCCAGAATGTTTATCCATAGCTTGTAGCTGGTGGTAAAACAGCTAACAGTTCTCCTTGTGGGCAAGGGCGAGGTGTGCTTTAATTCTTGCAGTTGTGCATGCTTTTATGTCTTACCATTCAAGTGCCTGACCTGCTACTTTGATCCTAGACCTGTCAGTGGTGGTAGCATCAGTTGTGAGAAATTCAAGCTGGTACATGGAAGTAGTGTAGGGGATTTCACTCTGTTATCTGTTTTTACATTTTAAAAGGCATTAGAGTGATGCATCAGGAAGTTTCAGTTAAATGTAGATAAGGATGGACTGCCTGCCTGATGATAAAATTGCATAATGATAATTACTATTAAAAAAAAAAAGCCACAGTACAAATCCTTCTGCATTCAGAACTCCAGTTCTATTTGCCTTCATTTGAAAGGAAAAGCATAAAGCAGTATTGTGACTTGCTCCGAATTCTGAGGATTTAGACAAAGCAAATCATGATTTTCTGTTTTGGCATCCAAGCAGCTGATTGCTACACAGAGGTAGCTTTGGAAAATCTGAATGCAGTAGGAAAGAAAGTAGTGCTTTCATTGATACTGCTCTAAAAGGCAGAGTCCAATGACAGTTATTTCTACAGTAATTTAATCCTAGATAGAGAAATCTAGTGTAGGGGCACTATTTTCAGTGGAATTATAAAAAGATCAAATTCTATGGAATTACTTGACTCTTCATAGAGTTTTATATAATATTAGCATATATTACTGCTAATATCTGCATATTAGCAAATCTTTGGGCTTTACTCAGAATTAGAATAGTGGTGCCAAATGCTAGTAATGCACAGATACCTAAATTTCAGTGGGCTAGACCAAATTTGACCCAACTCTTCAAACCCTTGCCACTACATCTTGTGCTGCCAAGGGTTTTGGCTTGCTTGTTCGTCCTTATGCTGCCAGGCATCAGGAAGCTAATTTTTGCCCTAGTGGTATATGTTCACAGCTTCTTCTTGGAAATAAGGTTTCTCTGATCCGTGATGTTAATCATTTGTCTGATTTGTTAACTGAAAACACTAAGGTAGCAAAACAGATAAAAAGGTGTTCTGCAATGAAAATTGGTCTGCCTGCAAATGATAGTACCATAATTTCAAGCATCCTAGAAATATTTAAAAATATGTAATTTCAATAAACACCATAGTACGAAGACAATAAAAAAGAGCTTGACATGCATGCCTGCTTCTTAACACAATATCATTCTGCTCCTGACATTAAAATATGACTTGCAGCTCAAAAAGACTGCATAACTTGCTGAGAAGTAGCTGTGGTACTGCTGTCCCTCACTCACCTCAGTTTTTCAGCTCCCTTGCACATCTGTTTCAGGATGCAACCATCTGCTCAGGCATGTCTGTAGGTCCTCCATCACATTGTTGCCAAGCATAAAATTAAAAAAAAAATCAAAGAATATAAGGGAAAAGAAATCTAAATCATGTTAAATAGTTATTTAGCTGCATGTATGAGTGTTCTCACAAAATATGTGCAAACCCATTTTAAGGGTTATCACTTAGTCTGTGTCTTGATACTGCATTTTTATCCAAAAAGTAAAGACAGATACTTGACTGTACAGTTTTGGAGTTTTATGAGATTGGTTTAATTGAGTTAATTCAGAAAGAAGATCATGTTAGAGGAATCCTGTCAGCTGCTTAACCTGCAGATGTTTGCAATAAACTCTATATTGCTTCCAAACTAACTTGAA